CCCCAAAACCCCAAAACCCCAAAACCCCAAAACCCCAAAACCCCTTTACGAATTATTCTTATTGTTCAAGAAAGCTAGTTATTAGACTCTTTGAAGGCAGCGAAATAACTATTGATTTCTTCATCAAGATTCTCAATCTGAAGATCCTTGAGTGTTCTTCCTGGAAAATGGTAGAGTATGGAATCAAGTGTGACTTCTTCCTTAGACTTCTTCTTTTTGTCATAAAGTTTCCTTAGCAAAATCTTCTCCCTAATCGATAGTCCCTTCGTCTGTCACAATTTTTGAAATCTCTTTTGAAGCATGAAGAGAGGTCCCTTCCATTTTATAGAGTCTGAGATGTAAACCCAGAATTCTTGATCCTTGTCTGCTGAACTTTCAAGTCGTTGTAAAATGTTTTCAATAGTATCACCAGCTTTGTTACAATGAGTACGCAAGAAGGCAAACATTTCCTTATCATCCTTCCTCTTCCATCTCTCCCTAGGAGGCTCAATAGTTAGAGCAGATGAGTCCTTCTGAATATCACCCTTCTTATCACTAGAGTCTTGGCTATCTTTTAGGTGATTAACGTTTGAAGGGCGGTCAACTTGTACGCTAGGACTCTCCTTTTCAGTGGTAGGTATTGGGATGTTTGGGGGTGGGTTCAGGAAGGGTGTTTGGGAGTGCGGAGGGAACATCTGCATTGGGGTTGGGTAGGGAGGGATTATTGAAGGCTGTTGAGGGAATTGCATCATTTGTGGATAGCCAGGCATCTGAAATGGCATAAGATTGAAAGAGGACATTTGGTTCTGAAAGTTAGTAATCTATAGGAAGATTTAATTACGGAATAAAACTTACCTGATCGGCAGGAACTGGAAATACTGCCATAATGTAAGGTGGGGGCTGCGCTGGAGCCTTATCACCCATTCCTGAGTTTTGTTGCCCTTGATTTCCTGGTTGCATTTTATTAGTTGAATAAGAACTCTATAAACTAAACCAATTTAGGGGTTTTGGGGTTTTGGGGTTTTGGGGTTTTGGGG